AGGGAGGGGGCTGAGCCACCTGACTGACAGACGCGGGGTAGGAAGGGATTGGGGTGCGGGGAGGGGCGATTAGATGTGGGAGATGAATAGTCGGAGGCAGTGGGTTGAGATTCCGAAGGGTAATGGATTTGGGGTGCGGGAAGAAGCCATAGAATTGGGGGAGGGCCGAGAAGTTTTGGTGAATGGGTGGAGGAGGGCTGGTACGACAGCTAAATACTTCAAAGGTGTTTGGGGCAGTGGACCACCGGGCTCTGTATTTATAGGGATGTATAAAAAGCGCTTGGAGAGACAAAGGAGTGGGCACCAGGGCCAAAAATTTAGGAGGGAAAGAATGCAGCAGAAAGAGCTATCGGTTTACTTGAGAAGGGGGCTGTGGATTTGATGGCGACGACAGATTTGGTGGGAGGAGGGGCCTCCGCATTGGGGGAGTGGAGCCATGCTTGGTAGCGACGGGTCTGGAGAGGGGAGCCAGGAGGCGGCTTTTAGGGGGAAGGGGATGACGCATGTAGGGGAGGAAGGAAATGGAATCGCAGTGATTGTGTCTGCGTGGGCCGGGAATGGGCAGAAAGGGCAGTAGGGATAGGCACAATAGGTAAGGGCCGGAAAAAACAGAGCAAAGGTAGGGATGTCTGGACTCAAGGATGCTTGGGCACCTAACGTTTTTGCTTGTTGCCAGCAATGCAGTCCATAGAGGATGGGGGGGGGCGTTGGAAGAAGGTGTGCATTTGGCAGAATTGGCTGGGTGTGATGGAGGTGGGGACTGTTCAGAGGGGTGGAGGATGGGTAGTGAAAATTTCGATGGAGACCCAACTAAGATCTGAGGTTTGATTTAAGGCAAGTGGGTGTGAGATTTTCCTGCCCTTGTAATAGAACTGAGAGAATCAGAAATACATTTGGAATGAGAAGGCCCTAAGTATGGGAATCACTGAAACTCTGGCGTCTGAGGAATGGGGATAGTAGAATTTGGAGTTTGACTAGAAAATATGACAAGGGATGAGAAGATGGAGTCAGGGCCATTGGGCATCAAACTGTGACAGATTTGGAAGTGGCTGATGGGGCATATGCAACATTAGGATTTACAGCTTAGGAGAGGCACTGTGCTTTGGAGGTATTTGGAGGTATTTGAGCTACAGGGGTGATGGGAGCTGATGGGGTGACAGTTGAATGGTGGACCTTAGGATGGCAGGGGGGATGTTCATGGGGTGGGGGTGGGGGCTGCTGGGTGCCAGGAGTGGGTGGGCCTTGTGAGAGGGAAGTGGGGAAGTGGCTTATCATTGGGACCCTGGTGGCCTTATTATACAGGTTTGAAAAGAGGAATGACAGGAAAGGGTTTTTGGAAAAAGGACCTGGAGAGTGAGTGGGAGACCAAGGTGACAAACTCATGGCAGGAGGGGATGAACCAGAGATAATTTCAGGGAGGAAGCTTAATGGATATAGCTTGGCAATCAGAGTAACACTGGGGAAAAAAAATAATGACAGGTTGTCTTTTGCAGGGAACAAGTGTGCAGTGCTAGATAGATGGAGGTTGCCTACATTGAGGGGGGAAAAAAACCACGTAAGGCCTTAGAGCTCACAGTTGAAGATGGCGAAACCGGCTCTGCTGGTATTAGGTACAGTGTTGGCTGTGGCCAGGACACTTAGAAACACATTTGGGTGAGCATGACTTGGGAACAAATCTAAAACTTCACCATGATTAGCCATGTGTGCCTTTGATGGTAGCACAGTGGACATTAAGAAAATAGACTCTCAGCCAGTCGGTGGTGGTGTACACCTTTAATCCCAGCAGAGGCAGGCGGATCACTGTGATTTCAAGGCCAGCCTGGTCTCCAGAGTGAGTTCCAAGACAGCCAGGGCTGTTACACAGAGAAACCCAGTCTGGGGAGAAATAAGGAGGTTAGGGGCCATGAGGATGTGCGGTTGGGGGACGGGTCTCAGGGCTGGGTTAGAGTTGTAGTGGTTAGACTGGGCAGACTGCACAATAGCAAGAGCCTGGGGCTTGAAGTTGGGAGCACACAGGAAGGACCACCCAGTACTTAAGATGATGGCTGCAGCTTCAGACCTAGAAGAAAAACTCTGGAAGGGAAAACTGTTTGCCTGGGTCACCTGACTGCTTTTTCTGGACAAGCCCTTTCGAGCTGCACTTTTTGTTTTAATGATTTCACAATAAAGGGGTTTTGAAGTTTACAATCAGGGTCTGTGAGATGGTTAGCAGCAGGTAGACCACTTGTTGCTCAAGCCTGAGGATGAGTTTGATCCCTCCAACTTACAATCAAGGTGATGAGGGAAGATACGACTCCAGATGTGTCCTCTGATCTCCACATAATAATAAAAAATAAGAATTAAAACATTTACAACCAGTCATCTTCAGTATGTCTCAGAGTCACACCCACAGGAGTAATGTGAACTTTGATGAAATACCTTCCTAATGAAGAAGAAAAAGCAGCAGCCAGCAAAGGGCCCAGTGCAGGTCACAAGGTCAGGCCTCTTAACCTCTGGGCTTTGCCCCGTGCATCCAGCAGGTACCACTCCGGGCTGTGCTGAGGGCACAAGGCTAGTGTGCTCCCTTGTGCCAAGTGAGGTTGTCCTCCCCCAAATTAAATTGATTGGCACTCCGGCCCCTCCTCGGGGGCCTCATATAGATAGGGATGATTCAGTCCTCTGTCCATCTGTGGAACTGACAGATACTGGGTTGTAACACACTGCTGTACAGTAAAGGGTTATCGGCTGTGGGAATGAGGGTCCTCTTGTCCTGGGCTACAGGGTGATGGAGATTAGAACACATTCAATCAGGGGAGTTTGAGACCATCCTTGCTAAGCCTGGGATGCAGGGATAGGTGGGGAGGTAGTCACCGTAGGCCTAGAGATACAGGGTGGGTGGTGGGTTGGGTGGGGTGGTGGTGGCAGCAGAACTATCTGACGCCTGGATCTGTACCCAAGGCTGCTATTTTGTCTCTGTGTTGGGAGTTAGGTTGGAATGAAGTTTTGTCCTGAAGATGAGAATTAGATTTATTCTCAGAGGAGAATGAAGAGTGAAACACTTACAAATGGGTGTGGTGTTTCGGGTTAGTGAATCAGCTCAGCAGGTAAAGACACTTGCTCTCAAGTGTGATGGATGACCTGAGTTAAATCCCCAGAACCCTGAGTTCGAGGCCAGCCTGGACAACACAGTGAGTTCCAGGACAGCCAGGCTACACAGTGAAACTCTTGTCTCGGGAGAGGTAGGGTATCCCCAGAAACGACACAACGGAAAGAGGACCAGTTCCCGCACGTTGTCCTCTGACCTCCACATGCTTGCCATGACACATACATGTACATTCCCAGGTATTGGTGGCGCACACCTTTACTCCAGCAGCCGGGAGGCTGAGGCAGGTGGATCTGTGAGTTTGAGGCCAGCCTGGTCTACAGAGAGAGTTCTAGGACAGCCAGCGCTACACAGAAAAACCCTGTCTCAAAAAACCAACAAACTTAAACATGTGTTTCTGGGCCAATGAGATGCCTCAGTGGGTAACCCCCCCCCCCCAAGGACCTGACTTGAACCTTGAAGGACCTATACAATGGAAGGAGAGAACAGAGGTTGTCCTCTGACCTCCATATGCACACCAGGGATATGTGTGCCCAGACACAAACACACAAAGGTATAAAGCAAATGGAGTTGTATTCCTGGAACACACCTAAGGGTGGGTGGGGGAAGAGAATCAGTCCACAGAGTTGTCCTCCGACCACAAGTCTCCTCCCTCCTCCCGCCATGCACACAGTAATAACGGGTAAGACTGTAAAATATAAAATAAAAGTGGTGTTTGTGCAGGAGGTTGTCTAGCATCGGGGTGTGGAGTGTGTGTGATTTAGATAGGGGCCAGGGTGGGACCTAAGCCTAGGCATTGGAGGGTACCAGCTGATGCTCCCAGGGAGGTGGGAGCAGCCACAGCATGCAGCATGCGTAGGAGGAATCGGCGAGCCGACCCACAGTGATCCTTCTTTTGTCTCTGTTGATTCTGAAGGTGGGTCATGAGCCGATGCCCCCCACCCTTGGGACCAATGTGCTGGGGAGGAAGGTCCTCTACCTGCCGAGCTTCTTCACCTATGGTGAGTGAGTGCCACAGGCCCAGCCAGCCCTGGAAACCTGCTGTGCAGCCTAGGACCAGGAGCCAGTGCCAGCTCCAAGGAGGGACCCGAGAGTGACCTGAGGCAGCAGGGGTCAGGTGGGAGCCGGTGGCTGCTGCAGCCCCGACTGCAGGACACAAGCTGGTTCTAGAGAACCATAGGGATATACACAAGCAGCCTCTCGCCTGCTGCAGCCCCACTGTTCTGTGAGGAGGAAGGGGCACTAACTGCCCATGTTCTTCATTGGATCCCCATGGATCTGACGAGGTACCTACCTCTCACTGTTGTGTCCATGGGTGATAACAGCTGGCTAGGGTATGGTAGGGTCTGCCTTAGCAGTATCTCCCTGTCCCTGCCTGCCAGCATGAGGGATCTTCTTCAAGTGCCTTTCTGAGTCCCATTCTGAGCCTCTCTTACCCATTTGGCTAGTCTAGAATGTTCTTTGCAAGTCTCCCCTGCTACATAACCTGGTTCTTGACCTCTGAGCCACCTTCTCCAGCACACACTCATTGTTGGCAGAATCACAGGCCAGGTCTTTTCCAGTTTCCTTCCAATTCCGAGTGCAGTGTCTAGGGCCAGGCAGAATGGCCATTTTGTGGGGAAATGTGTTTGTTTTTATGTTAGGATTGTTGGTTTAGGGGAAGGGGGGAACCATGTAAGTAGGGCGCCCCCACCCACCAGTGTACACAAAGATAACAAGCCCAGTCATGTGGCAACCCAGCTTTCTGGATTTGCCTATGGCAGCCAGAGCCGTTGGGAAGGACTCATGTCTGAGGTCATGCCTATTCCCATGGGACCATCCTGACCTTCATCCGAGGGCCTCTTGGTAGGGTGAGCCAGGTTCTGAGGCGCCCCCACCCAGGTTTTGTCCGTGTTTCAGATCAGATGTCAAGAGCAGATATCTGCTGCACACTGGCTGCTCCTGAGTCAGGAAGTGCTGGCCGTCTGTCTGTCTAGAACTGTCTGGCCAGTGTCTCCTCCCCCACAGCTGTGGACATTCTGTGGTGTAAGGCTGGAATCCCTGGGGTTTTGTGGCTCTGCAGAAAGGCCCTGAGGTGGTGGGATGAGGCAGTCCTAGAGAGGGCCTCTGTGGACAGTGCTGTCTCCATTTACCTGACAGCTCAGCAGAGAAGTAGGCAAATCCTGGAGCTGGCTCAGTGGGAGCCACACTGGCCCTGCCTGAGCCTGCCCCTCAGTCTAGAGTAGAACAGCTGTGCCCAGCATGGCCCAGCCTCCAGCACCCTCATCCCCTTCCCTAGTCCTCTCTCCCCTTCCTAGGAAGCTGTTATGCAGGTAACAGGTGGTTTGCCCTGTCCCTGGAAGCCCTTGCTGTGTGTGACATGGAGTCACCCGGCAGCCACGCAGAGGAGAAAAGGGCACATACGCTTGCTCGTCACTGCCTGTGTGTGGTGCTAGAGAGCTGACGTCACAGGTCTGCAAGGGGATCATATTGAGGGAGTGTTCTGTTGACTTCCAGGGCTTAGGGAAACATATCACCTTCTTGAACATGGGTTAAATATAAAGTGGGGAACGCAAGACATCACACGCTGATATGAAGTACAGCCAGCGGCATTGGAAGTCCCATTGCCACCTAACCACCCAGGGTCTCCCCAGTGTCCCTTACTAATGATAGCAGGTGCCAGGGGCGTCCTGGGTACAGCACAGCATGGTAGCTAACGGGCTGTGGTGTCCTGGCCACAGCGTGGTCTGGAGACCTTCCTAGGCCTGGCTAACCATCCCTTTCTGCCCCCTCCCTTAGGCAGGGAAGGTCATCTCTGCTTGTGGGAGCCCCACCCCCATCCCAAGAAAAACACTGTATAAGCAGCTGAAATTGGTTTTGGATTACAGCATTCCAGCTGCTGAGTTGAGAAACGACAGTTGAGTTTGCCAAGTAGTTTTCAAAGCTAAGAAAAAGAAAGAAGCACGAGAAAGAGAAGTCAGATGGGCTTATCTGTCAGAAAAAACGGTGGAACGAGTTTTACCAAAAGAGACATCAGGTGACACTTGGGGTCGGAGCTGGCTTGTGTCAGGCCCTGGACACACATCCTGGCTGCGGTCAGCAGTGGTGGGGAAACCACTGGTCTGGGTATGTGGTCTCGCAGTGGGTGTCCTGGGCTGGGCCTGACGCCATGCCCTTTGCCTTCTACAGCCAAGTACATCGTTCAGGTTGATGGAAAGATAGGGCTGTTCCGGGGCCTGAGCCCCCGCCTGATGTCCAACGCCTTGTCCACTGTGACCCGGGGCAGCATGAAGAAGGTGAGAGCAGCGCCCAGGGTTCCCCAGGCTCCAGTCACCGTCAGCTGCAGCCCGCCGGCCCTGGTCCCATATCCCCATGCAGACTTCAGTACATGGCCTCTGGGCTTGTGCTTGGAAAGCCCTGTGCCCCACAGTCCTCCCTCTCTTCCACAGCAGTGGCAGCTATGATGGTGGCTTTCCCACTCAGTCCCCAAGCCTGTTGGTTACTGGCAGTCCAGACAGTGACCACAGCGCGCCATGTCTCTTAGGCGCTCACCTGTGATTCATGGCTCTGTTTTCCTTTGGTCCACTCTGTGTTTGTGGCCAGGTTTTCCCTCCGGATGAGATGGAGCAGGTTTCCAATAAGGATGACATGAAGACTTCACTGAAGAAAGTTGTGAAAGAGGTTGGTGTCAAGGGGCAGAGAGGAGAGTTCTCATCCCTGGTTGGCTGGGTCACATTGTGCTTGCCCCAGGTGACTGGACACTGCAGGACACTTCCTCCCTAAAAATACCTGTGATGGCAGCACACCTCAGAGAGGTGTAGGGTGGGGGTGGGCATCGTCTGTGGTAGACCGAGGCCTGGGAAGTGAATCCCCTTTTCCCTATGTAGGCTTGCATCCCCTGTGGGTACCAGTGTGATGGCCCCGCCCTCCTCTCTTGCAGACATCGTATGAGATGATGATGCAGTGTGTGTCCCGCATGCTGGCCCATCCTTTACACGGTAAGGACGCTGCAGCTGAGCCCACATAGCACAGGCGGGTGGGTGTGGGCTGGCCCCTCCTGAACGCAGGGTAAGCACTGGTAGATGGCTGGGAAGATTCAGGGGATGACAGGGCAGAGGCGATGCTGTGGCTGTGGGGTCCGAGGCCCACCCCTCCTGAGTGTGGCACGGGGCCATTCTGCACTGGATACCCCAGGGGTAGGGTGCCGTGCCATTGGCCCTCTAGGTTACCCCGTGCTTTCTCTCTCTCCTCAGTCATCTCAATGCGCTGCATGGTGCAGTTTGTGGGGCGGGAGGCCAAGTACAGGTAGGTGATTAATTCTTGGGTGTCTCTGTGCTCTTCTGACAGGGTGGGGTTAGGGTAGGGGGTGGGGGAGGAGCTCGACAGCTGCCTGGCTTCTGAGGAATGTTCCAGTGGCTCCCGCTGTGCCTGTCTCCTGTGATTCTCTAAATGCCCCTCAGTTTCTTTCAGAGTGGGGTGCAGAGCCTCGAGGCCCTGTGCTGCAGAGTCTGCTTGGGTTAGGTTTGAGCTGGGGTCCCCTTCCTGGACTCCTCAGTTTCTCTGGCTCCTAAAATCTGCCTTTTGGGGGGCGGAGATGAGGTGAATTTACACCACTCATGGATAGTGGGGCACAAGTATGCTCTTCTCATCCTCAACTGAGAAGCGGGATACTCCTCACAAGCCCAGATTCCGCTCAGGCCAGGAGGCCTGAGCACACACAGCCTTTTCCACTCAGGCCAGGAGGCCCAAGCACACACACAGCCTTTTCCGCGGCCATTTCCTGGCTTCGGATGTTCTCAACTGCCAGGATGCTTGGCTCTAGGTTCACTCATGGGAGTTGCTTGATTCCCTAGACTGAGATACGAGGTTGGTAAATGACCCGAGGGGACAGCTTGGCTGAAACCCCAGTGGGTCAGGCCACTGTCGTGAGAAGAACATGGGGTGTGGTGGGGCTGGGAGCCCTCGGCCAGCTCTAGCTAGCCAGGGTTATACACCTGCCGCTTCCACCTGGGCGTAGCAGTGCCTCTGCAGGCCAGCAGATGTTTCCAGTCGCAGGTCACAGAGGTGGCTATGGAGTTAGGAAGTCACAGCCTGCCCGCTAATCATCTCTAGCAGGCTGCACGGCAGGGCTCCAGACCCCAGGCTTGCCTGTGGGAGGGCTGCTCTTTTTCCTGGGTTGCCCCCGGGCCTTCCAGCAGCAGTGTCCCTCTGCTGCCCTGTGCAGGTGACTCTGTCTGCTCTCCACCCTTCCTGTTCTCACCAGTCTTCACGTCTCCTGCCCTATGGGTTGTTGCGCCCCAGTATCCATGAGTGGTGTAAATTCACCTCATCCCCACCCCCCAAAAGAATGCTTTCTTCTCCCCTTGGGTTCTTCTTGGTGACAGACTTCCATCCTGGCTCGTGCCTGCTGATCTGAGTAAGGCTGGAAGGTGGGCTTCTGCTAGGTGACCTTGTCTCCATCTTGCCTCCTCAGTGGCGTCCTGAGCTCCATTGGGAAGATTTTCAAGGAGGAGGGGCTGCTGGGATTCTTCGTGTACGTGAGTTTATTCCCTGTAAGAGCACATGTGGCTCACTGACAGGTGTGTTCTCAGTCTCTCGGGCCACAGCTGCCGCCTGGACTAACCACAGAGTGCCGCAGGCTGCCCAGCTGCTGCCCAGCTGTGTTGCACTTCATAGCATGCTGGGAACCAGAGCTGTCCAGCCCTTTCAGGTCACAGCTTACATGAAAATGGACCTGGTCAAGGGGTGTAACTCAGTGGTAGAGTGTGGCATGCCTGAAGGCCCGGGCCCTGCACCCAGCACCACACACACACAAAAGACTATCTCATACTGGGAGATGAGCTAAACAGCCCCTGCCAGGCACCGTCTGGGCTCTAGGGTTGCCAGGGACACAGAACTCATCTTCAGAAGCTCTGCATAGTCCTTGGCGTCATTGCCAATAGTGACTGTCAAGCTACGAGTTGGACTGAGGATTGGGTGCTGGCACCCTGCCACCAGTCAGGGCCCTGTTTGAACAGTTAGTGGGCATGGAATGCTCAGGATGATTTGCACACAAGTCCATGCTTCTGGGTTCTCTTGATGAGTCAGAAAACCTGACCCTGTTGGGCCTGTGTGTCTCTGGGTGTGTGATCTCCTGAAGGCCACAGACCCAGCACTCCTGGTCTTGAGCCCAGCTTACTCACTCACTAAGAAAGCTCAGACCATAAATACTATTTAGAAAGAATGAGTGTCAGACAGCCAAGAAGCCAAGCTGACAAGTAAGGCCTTTGTTTTGCCACTTGAAGGTCTAGGCAGTGGCCTACAGTGGTCATGTGCACGGCATACCAGTACTGGGCTCCATGCTAACCATTCTTGTGCGGTGATTTTTCCAGATTGTCAGATCGTTTTATGGTGTGTGTTTAATCAAGAAGTGACTTGGAACAGAGAGAGACAGACAGTATGTTTCTCAATAGGTGATTTTGCCCCAGGGGCTCATTGGTGATGTCCAGGGGCATCTGTGGCTTTCAGAATTGGCATGTGAGACAGACCCCCCCCCCTTCCACTGCTGCTAAACATCTTGAAGTTCAGAGGACAATTAGGTGTTGCTCATCTCCAAATGGCCATAGGGCAAGGTTGAGAAACCCATCTCTGTATACGGGTCCATATGTAAGAATGTAGATTCGGGTGCCTGGTCCATCAGACCCTGACACCGAAGTACTGGGCAGCTAGCTCTGTGGCTGGTGTCCCACACAGCACATGCTTACTTGGGGGTGATTTTGGGGAAGGGATGCATATAGGTTACAGGTTCGGAAAGCGCCCACTGGGGAAGGAAGTGCATTTGTTGACCAGCCTCTGAACACTGGTGTGTTTCTTAGCACTTTCTTGGACTTCGAGATTATGTATTTGTTGCTTTTATGTGTGTGCCTGTGTGAGTTTATGTGCACCGGGCACACACAGGAGCCGTGGAGGCCAAAAAGGAAGCCTCAGATCCCTGGAACTAGAGCCAAGCCAACCCCTTTGCAAGAGCAGCAGGCGCCTAAACTGCTTGGTGCCTCAGCGTCTTCACAGGACAGGGAACCTTCCGGTCTGGTTGTAAAGGCCACCACTGCAGGGTAGCTGTCTTTGCAAGCGTTTGTGTGGCACACGGCAAACACTTGCATGGCGCATTGTTGGTGGACCATTCCAGGACGGAGGACAGAAATATTGAGCAGTTCACTGAGGACTTCTCTGGTGAAGCTGCCAGCCGCCAGGCACTCCTTTGTGATCTGTATTTGCCAGGTGTGGCTGCTGTCACACCACGACACCAGGGCTTCTGCAGATTGAAAATAGCTTGTGACACCGCTAACTAGTTTGTGACACCTGAGACCTCCGTGTGGGAGGAGGACCACTGCCTGCCCCGGCGGCAGCACCACTCCACAGGCTCCTCCCTGAAGCTGGGCCTGGGTGCTCCAGGTGCAAGCGGGGTGCAGCCTTCCCGCCTCCTGGCCTCCTGGTCTCCTCCCTGCTCATCTCTGCTCACCTTGTTTTGTAGCGGCTTAATCCCTCACCTCCTGGGCGATGTGGTTTTCTTATGGGGCTGTAACCTGCTGGCCCACTTCATCAATGCCTACCTGGTGGATGACAGCGTGAGTGACACCCCAGGGGGGCTGGGAAACGACCAGAATCCAGGTTCCCAGGTTGGTTGGAACAAGGGCTTGCCTTTCTTTCTGTGTGTGCCCGGGTCTGGGACAGGCTGGGACTTTGGGATTTTGTTGACAGGGGTGAGAAGGGGCCCCTAATTGTCTCTAGTGCTGGGGAGATGAGATTACACTGACCCCTGCCTGAAAGAAAGTTAAGGAATTCTGTCCCTCCAGTATGTGAAGTGGGCCCTAGTTTATCCAAAACTTCTTAACAAATGCGAGAAGGCAGCTAATAGCCACAGTCCTTTAACCTTCCTAGTCTGTGCTTTTAAAACCCTCTGTGAGCTGGGCAGTGGTGGCACACGCCTTTAATCCCAGCATTCAGGAGGCAGAGGCAGACAGATCTCTGAGTTTGAAGATAGCCTGGTCTACTCAGAAACCCTATCTCAAAAACAAAACAAAAATCCCACCATGGCCTGACATGTGATCCCATTTAATCCCAGCATTCAGGAGGCAGAGGCAGACAGATCTCTGAGTTTGAAGATAGCCTGGTCTACTCAGAAACCCTATCTCAAAAACAAAACAAAAATCCCACCATGGCCTGACATGTGATCCCAGCACTCGGAAGGCAAAGGTAGGGAGATTGTGCAGTCAAGGCCACCTCAAACTGTACAGACTGTAGATGGCCACTCTGGTCTCAAAAGCAAAACAACCTACAATGGCTCTCCATGACCATCATGACCTTTGGTCCTGGCAGCTCAGATGTCATGGGAAACCGCACAGGTGTAACATCCCGGGCCAGGTGATGCCATCTGTGTCAGCCTGCTCTGGCTGCTGGGGTCTGCAGACCTAGCCTACAGGGGCCAGGCATCAAAAGGCCCAGGCACCCGATGGTTTGATAGGTTCTGCTCAACCAAGATAAGGATTAGGGACCCACAATGGGTTAGGGTTCCTGGAAGCCAGTCTGACAGCAGGAATGGCCTGGAAGGGTAGGGTAGGGGTCATTCATGGTTCATGGAGTGTCTGTTGGCTCAGGCTGGCAACCCTGGGGGGGGGTGACCTGTGATTCGAGGAGAACGGTGGCCCTGTAACCTGGGTGGGTGGATCTTCACTGCCCTTCTATTGTCTACAAATTAAAGGGTTTTGTGGAGATGCACCCTCATCCATAGTGACACTGACACGTGCCGGCAGCTCGGCCTACCTCAGGGACCTTGACCAGTGGGTAGGCAGGTGCTGTGATCATATAAAGAGCAAGACTGGGACAGTTAGCAGTGCCCCACACCAAGGCACTGGTCTGGCTTTCTGGGTCAGGGAGCACAGCTCTGTCCGGGCCACTTACACACCTTTCTGAGTAGTCAGCTCTGGTATGGAAGGCACGTTCTATAAGGACTTGAGGCTGCCACACTGGTCAGGCCATCAGTTTATCTTCTGCAGGGTGCTGGGTATCCTGTAGTGGGATGATCACTTCAGAAGATGCCAAGGGGCAGGTCATCGCCTACCCTAGTGATACCAGTTCTCTGGGGAATGTCAAGCTTTAGGAGTGGGAGGTGGACGCTTGGTGAGATGGGGGTAGCAGTAGCCCAGAGTGACCACACACTTCATCCTCAGAACCGGGCTCTGTCCTGGGACACTGGGTGGAAGTGACTGCTCCAAGAAGATGTGGGCCACACCTGGGAGCTCTGGGTCCTGTGGGGTTGCCACACATGATGGCAAATGAGCTTGTTTCTGCCTCCCAGCTTCTTTCCCAGCTGAGGGGAGGGCATAGGAGGGACTGGCCTGGAAAAGGGGACTGTAGAGGGTAAGATGAGGCAAGGTGAGGGTACCCCTGACATTCCTATGGTAAACCCTGCTTCCTCTTTGTCTACAGTTCAGCCAGGCCCTGGCCATCAGGAGCTATACCAAGTTTGTGATGGGGGTAAGTCCTGCCGACTGCCTTTAAGGGCTGGGTGGGCTGGAGGCAGGTCTCACTGGGCCTGTGGGGGGGGCCATGCTGGCACTGAGGCCTGTCTGTCTTTCAGATAGCAGTAAGCATGCTGACCTACCCCTTCCTGCTTGTTGGAGACCTCATGGCTGTCAACAACTGTGGGTACGTGTGTACCCTTCCACCTGGCCCCCTACCAAGATTGCTGGGACATCCAGAGGGGAGCCCCCCCACACACACATACTTTCCTGTGGGGTTAGCATGGTGTTGGGATGGGCACAGGGCACCCAAGATTGCTGGGACATCCAGAGGGGAGGCCCTCTCACACACTCATACTTTTCTGTGGGGTTAGCGTGGTGTTGGGGTGGGCACGGGACACGTAGGGCCGGAGTTCCCCACCCTCTCTGAAGATGTGTCTGAGGTCCCCGTGCTCCTTCCACAGGCTGCAGGCTGGACTCCCTCCTTACTCCCCCGTGTTCAAGTCCTGGATCCACTGCTGGAAGTACCTGAGTGTGCAGGTGGGCATGCTGGGCGGGAGCTCCCAGCTGCACTGGAGGAGGGGGAGGAGCTGGCGTGAGAGGGGGTGGATGGGAGACACCTGCTCAAAGGCATTCACACAGTCACCTTTCAGTGCACCTTTCAGGGCACTAAGTAGTCCCAGCTCGGCTGAGGGGAGACTCACATGAGACTGAAGCTCAGGACCTGGGCGGCAACAGTGAAAGCCTGTGCTTTAAAAATTAATCAAAGGCTGTATTCCTTTGGAGGCGGGAGGTGGCAGAGGCCAAGAACTCACTCTTTGGTAACAAGAGTGTCTGGGACCTGGGGGATCTTCAGGGTTCAGCTGGGTCTGATGGGAGTCTGGAAGGAACAGGCATGGCTTCTGGGGCTTGGTACTGAAGCCTCCTGCTGACTATAACTTTTGGAAGCCAGTAGTCAGGAACCAGGCTCATGGCTAGGGCAGGTTTCTTGGCCTCGCTTTGCTACCAATCAAATGAGGTGCTGGCCTGAAGAAGAGCCAAGAGTGCCAAGTGGCCTTTAGGTTGAGAATGGGTGTGATGGGGCCAGTGAGGTGGCTGAGTGGCTAAAGGTGCTCACTGTGTAAGCCTGACAGCCTGAGTTTAATCCCAGAGTTCACACAAAGGTGGAAGGAGAGAACCCACTCAGCAAAGCTGTCTTCTGCCCTCCACACGTGAGCCCCAGCGTATGCACCCCTCACCCCATCATATAGACACACATACACAATAATAGTAAAAAATTATTTTTTAAAAAATTTTTACTAGGAGGGAGAAATGGAGTAGGAGGCAGCAAAAGTTTCCTCCAGCATCACCAGTTGGGTTGTGCATCTCAGTCTCCACTTGGGGGGGGTTGGAAGAGCAACAAGTCTCCTCGTTGGAGGTTTCCTGCAGGGTTGGGGCTTGGGGTTCCCCACCCTTAGACACTAATTGTTTTGAACCCAGTGTCTTGTGTGTGCTAGCTAGGTAAGCACCCTACCACGGAGCCAGATCCATTCCCAGCCTCCTTTTTGTTTGGTTTGGTTTATTCAAGACAGGGTTTCTCTGTGTAGCCCTGGGTGTCCAGGAACTTACTCTGTAGACCAGGCTGGCCTCGAACTCACAGAGATCCTCCTGCCTCTGCCGCCTGAGTACTGGGATTAAAGACATGTGCCACCACCGCCCCGCTCACATCCCCCCTTTTTACTTTTTATTTTTAGTCAGGATTTCACTAAGTTGCCCAGGCTGGCTATGAACTTGTCTTGTGGCCCAGACAGACCCTGAATTGGTCCTCCTGCCTCAGCATCCCTATGGTTGAGCTTGCAGGCCTGAGCCACCAGGCTGCTGGCACAGACAAATCCTGTCCTTACTTTCACGATTGTGCCTTGTCCCTTCACACCCTTTGTGTGTGGCCCTGGGCCTCTGAGCCCCTGGCTTCTTTTACTCTAAGAAGTATGGCCTCCTCCCACTGACTGCCTCTCTTTTCCCACAGGGCCAGCTCTTCCGTGGCTCCAGCCTGCTTTTCCGCCGGGTGTCATCGGGGTCGTGCTTTGCCCTGGAGTAACCTAAGTCGCCTGACCAAACATTTATGGGGTCCTGGCCTGTCCCTGGTGAGGGCCCGTCATCTCAGATGCCTGAGGGACTCTAGCCCAGCCTGGCTTCATGTCCATATTTGCCATGTGTCTGTCCAGATGTGGGGCTGGTGGTGGTGGTTCACCTGGGACCTGGGGGAGCCTGGGGGAGCAGTGTTGGAGGGGGAATCCCCTTCCTGCCCAGAGGTACAGCTGAGAGAGGCCGTGGAGGCAAAGGTCACAGGAGGCAACGGCTTATGGGATCAGGTCCCTCCACCTCCAGCCCAGCTCACCCTGCCACTCAGCAAGTAGCTCCCTCCCCTGCTTTGTAACCAGGGCATCATCATGCCTGCGCCTGTGCTGGGAGGGCTAGCCCCATGTCCTGCCCTTGTTCGCAACACTACTTTTATGATACAAGGGCAGTGCCTTCTCCTTATTGGAAAATCATGTGACTCCTCAGAATATCCCCCTCATCCGCTCATATGTAATGGTGACACCAGGTGTGAGGTTTATGTCACCTGTGCGGTGTGTGAATGCACAGTTTATGCAGGCCAATGTCTAGTCCTCCCCTTACGGTAAGATATGACCCCATCTCCTCGAATAAATGTGTTGGTGGTGATTTGGACTTCTGTGGGAGCCTCTTATTTCTGTGAGCTTCGCCAGGCCCTTATTGGTGTCTTAGGTCTCTGGACTGTCAGCCTGGGCCCAGAGCTGTGGCCTGGTCGAGTCCTCTGTCCTTGGGGTTGAGGCTGAGGTGCCTCTTCACAGAGCAGCAGCTGGCACTTGGACCTTCTGTCAGGAAGGTAGCAGCTGTTTCAGAGAGTCCCACCCAAGCTACCAAGTGGCACCTTGGCACCTTTTGAAGGTGACTGTTTTCAAGTCTTCAGCCTTTTTGGTACAGCAGCCACATGGTCGGGCAGAAGGAAATGGCCATGAGTGTCTGCCCTCCCTCCAGGGACCTGGCATGTGAGACTTGCAGTTTGCTGCCTTTTCATTTCCCCTCAGGTAAGGTCTGGGTCATTCCTCAGGCCTTGGTGATCTGATCTCCAGTAGTCTAGTGGCAGGGATTCAGTGTAGTTCCACTTTAATGCCCAGTAGTGAGGCTTGGTTGGCCCTGTACACGTGAACAGTGTGAGGCCCCTGTGCTCTCATAACTGTTTAGTTTACACTCCCTTTGCTAGAGAGCCTCACCCCAGGCGCTGTGATCTGGGATGTTGTCCACATTGCATTGTGAGCATCGTCTTTAGATCGGTGTCCTGAGGATGTTAACCCAGAGCATCCCCACCACACTGATCACAGTGATGCTGGGTGACTTTTCCTTGTCTACCTTCAAATCCTGTCTTTGCACTGGTCCCCCCAGATTTAGGGACACTTGCCCCTGAGCCACAACCTCCCAGAGGTTTGTAAGAGGCTGCCTGGCCATTGGGCACGGGAGGCCCTGCCATCCCCAGAGACTATCCTGGAGCTAGAGAACAAGTCCTTATCTGTTCAGAGGTTTGGTGAGCTTGAGTGGGGCATAGTGCAGCAGCTGAGCTGCCCCTGGGGAGGGCACTGGAGTGGAGTGTCCTCCAGGGAGTCAGTGGCTTCCCTCCTGGGGAACCTTGTTCTTAGGGACAGCTGGAAGGGCCTGCAGCAAGCCTTCTGAGACTTCCTCTTAAGAGGCTGTGGTAGACTGAGCTGTTCCCTTCAGCAGTCCTTGTCACTGCAAGCCTCTAAGATGCCTGGAAGCCATGGCTTACAGTGTAAAAGAAGACCTTCTCAGGTCCTCGAGGCCTCTGGGCACCAGCCTCTCCACCTTCTGTTGAATAGTTCAGTGCTTGCTGACACGTCCCTCTGCCAACCCGTCTTACAGCCCCTGTTCTTGAAACCTCCCTCACCCCATACCCCTCATCTCTGACAGGCATTTTCATGGGACAGCTGCCGGCTGCCGGCAGATGCCCTTCCTGGGCAAGTCAGGGAGAGCCACAGGGAACCCAGGATAGGCTTGAGCTTCTGAGAGGTCTGCTTGGCCCAGAGGCTCCTATCCCTGACCACTAAGGCCTAACACTAGCTCAAGAAAACAGACCTTCCCAGGAATAGGAATGCAACTGCTTTAAGGGCTGGATATCAGTCACATGACCATCTTTCAGCAGACGGAGGCAGCCTTTGAAGAAAGTCAACACCCTTACAATAAAATACTTAGACAAGGACCAAACGGCATTCAAGAAAAATCCTCACAATTGGGGCTGGGGAGAAGGCTGTCAGTAAGATGCCTGTTGCACAGGTATAAGAACCCAAGTGTGATCTCTAGCACCCACACAAAAGCTGGGTGCAGTGATGTAGGTTTGTATCCCTAGCACTGGGGGCAGCAGTGGGTGGGGAGTGGAGACAGCTCCCTGAAGCTCATTGGATAACCATCCTAACCAAATTGAGCTGCAGCATCCGTGAGAGATGCCATCTCACAAAGACAAGGTGAGGGCTCCTTAGGGTAACATGATTTGTCAAGAATTTATATGGAAGTCAAAAGCAGGCAAATGAGGGCTGTGAAATGGCTCAGCAAGTAAAGGTGCCTGTCACCAAGCCCGACCCTTGTGATAGAAAGAGAGGAGGTCCTCCAACTGACTTCCAAGAGCACAATGGCATGAATCCCCTCCCCTCAACAAAAAAGGAAGGAACAGGAAATGTACATACAAAAAATAGATGAGCTGTTGCTTCGGGCTAAGCGGGGAGTGGTACCAGGGTAAGGTGCTTCTAGGGTAATGAAAATGCCCACTGTTGGTATTAGTTATAGTCACAGTCCTATAATATACTAGAAACTATCAAGTTGGGGTTGAGCAGTTGGCTCAGTGGGAAAGGCACTTGCCACCAAGCCTGACAACGTGAGTTTGATCCGAGAACTCAAGACAGAACTATTCCCAAAGGTTGTCCTCTGACCCTCAGCGTACACCTTATTGCACCCATCCCCACCCTACAGAGACACTAAATAAATACATCTCTAAAACATCGAGTTGTATGCTTCAATTTTTTTTTTTTCTGCTAGGTGTGGTGGTACATGCTTTTAATCCCAGCACTCAAGAGGCAGAAGCAGGTGGATCTGAGTTTGAGGCCAGACTGGGCTACATACAGAGTTCCAGGACAACCAGGATAACATAAAGACCCTGTCTTTAAAAAAAAGCAAAAACAAAACAAAACAAACCACCCAGACAAAGATGCTGGGCTGGGATGCATGTGCACCATAGCACCTGAGTGGAGGTTAATTGGAGGATGGCTTGCTGGAGTCAGTTTCCTCTCTTACCACGTGGGTCCAGGGGAGTGAACTCAGGGCTCAGCACCTTCACTGTGTATAGTTTAAATGGGCGACCTCCTGGTCTTTATTGGGAGCAACAGCCTGGATCAGGTCAGTACTAGCTTGGCCAGGACCCCTCCCTAGCCCCAGGGCCCCTTTTCTCACTTGTTGCCCTTTGCCCCTTGTTTCCCTGGCCCACACTTCTGGACCACTCTGATATCCAGAGAGGTTCCAAGGCCCTGGGGCCCTGTATCAGGGCTGCTCCAAGCACCTGAGTTACCCAAACCTGGCCATTTTGAAACCTGTGGCCTGGACAGGCCTGAGCATTGGCACCCTTGTGGAAATGTCCTGAGCCCCAGAGCCACCAAGTAAGCCCGAGTGGTAACTTCTGAGGTTGGGAGAACCAGCCAGGCACCCTGGGCCTTCCTCCCTCTGCTCTTTCTTTTTCCTGCCAGACCACTTGTGGCTTGGGCAGAGTGGAAGTTCCAGGAAGGAAAGGGATGGCTCAGAGTGTGAGGAGAGGGCAGAGAAAAGGCAAGCATTGCGTAGGTGGGCGGGAGCCGATGTCCCACAGCTCTCAGTCTTTATTCAGGAGTCAGGGTCACCTCCTCCCTGTCTCCCCACCCACAGAACCCCACTTGGGTGGGGCTTGTCCTTCACCTGCCCCTCCTGGTCCAGGCCACATGGGCACTCAGATCAGGAGCCCTTGAGCCTGTGGGCAGACAGCACCCTACCCACCACCCTGAGGGGCAGGCAGATATCCTCAGAATCATGCCCTCTGTGGGACACTGTTGTAAGGGGCAGGAGGGGCCCTGGTGTGCAGTTTCTGGTGAGCTGGACTCCACAGCTTTTCCCTTCCAGAGGGCCTTCAGCCAGGCAGAATTTTAAGTTTGAGGGCTGGGGACAGGATGGAGGACATAGCAGTTCCACAGCAACCTCTTCTCCTGGGAAGACAGTAGGTACTTTCGCAGATACTCCTGGACTTTGAAGGTTCAAGAAAGAACCCAAGGGACTAGTAGGGGCCAAGAAGTTCCTGAGAAGGCTATGCGATTCTCTGTCCTTAGGAAACTAGGCACAGGTGGCCACTAGAACACTGATGAGGGCAGCACCCCACCCCACCCCCACCCCTGAGGAAGAAGCACTGCTGGGGGGTCCCCGGCTGGTGCTGCTCAGCATAGAGGGGAGGGGAGGGAACGGGTGCAGAGAGCAGGACCTGCTCCAGAAGCTCTGACTTCTAACTTGGAGGCAGAACCCGGAATAGCATGAGGCCAGTCTCACCAGGCCTTGCCTTTGAGTGTCCCCTTCAGAATATGCCAGCCAACAGCAGGGCAGGCAGCAGCAGTCCCAGGAAAGGGCCCCATACGTGAGCAGAACTCTGCTTCAAATCCCAGCCAGCCTTTTCAGGGTTCTCTGCACCTGCAGGAAAGAAGGGGCTGTGGCTCATCTCACAGACAGCCTAACTCTCCACTACTCCATGCAAGGTGCAGGCAGCAGGCAGGGAGGAAGCATCTTCCAGATCACACATGCTTTATCATGCCCTAACCAAGGGCACCAGCACAGGTACCAGCATCTGGAGCCAGGAAGGAATAGGGGCTGCGGGCCTTACCTGTCCCGGTTGATTGTAAGGCCAGGGTGCGCCCAACTGAGGCATTAGCCCAGGCAGAGGCCCTGGGGAAGTTGGGCAGGGCCGTGGAGGCAGGGTGGCCCGAGTGGTCCAGTGAGGCCTGCTGCCCGCTGAGCTCCTGGGTTGGAAGAACTGGCACCACCACCTCACTGGAAACAGGCAACTCGGCCTCTGCCTCAGGCAACTCTGCCTCCGCCTCAGGCAACTGGGCCTCAGTCTCCACCTGGGTCTGGGGTAGCACCTCTCCTGTCTGTGTCGGGGACATCTTGGGGTAGGGAGATTTCTCTGGGCTCAGGGAGGTTGCACTTGACTTGCTGGCGTCTTTGTCCGTATATTTGGTGACAGGGGCATGTGGTGATGTGAGAAAGTTAACTGGCTCTTCATCCAGTGAGGGCTGGATGTGAGCATCGGAAATGGAGGAGACCTCCCTTAGGTAAGATGGAGCCTCTGTTGCCATGGAGGAGGGGCCTTCCGTTGCTAAGGAAGATGGGGCCTTTGTTTCTACCGCAGGTGAGGACTCGGTTGCCAGGGAGTCCGAGACCTTTGTTACCGAGGAGAAACGTAGAGTCTCAGAGGTTGCTAGGGACGGAGTACCGGTTTCTCTGGAGCTTGGGGCTTCAGCTGCCCGGGTGGAAGGGACCTCGGTCACCCGTGGAGGAGAATCCTGCGCCTGTTCCGGGTTTCTTGTGGGTTCTGTTTGGCAAGGCTAAGCGTTAGTGCTGCAAACGGGGCCCTACCCGGCCGCGCAGTGTCCCACCGGGGCGCGCAAGCCACACTCCTCTGCAGCGGGTGTGCCCTCTGGTCACTGACACGGCCTCTCCACCCACCACCGTCTCGAAGCATCTCTGAAGGACTGCACTGTAGGCCCCGCCCATCCGACCACAGACCCCGCCCACCAGCCCAAACCTTCCCGCTCAGCCACGCCCCCTTGGCACAGCACTCCGGGGGCCTCTGGTTCTCCGCCCAATGTGGGACGGAAGGATGAAATCTGTCACTTGGGGTAACGAGGCGCCAAGTGGCGGTGCGGGGAGGGCAGAAAGTCGCAGAGGGTCCCCGCCGTCACATCCCGTAGTCCCCCTTCTGCTTCTCAAGGTGGGAGTCCTGAGACTCTTGGCCACTCAGGCAGCATCGCATTCTCCCAACCCCTTCTCAGCTCTGGCTTGTCACTCACCGCAGAGAAAGTTCTCGCAGCTGTAGCCAAGGGGGCACTGGGAGCAAGGTGTCCCTTCCTGGTAGGGCTTGCGCCCCTTCACGTTTCCCCTGAAGGAGAAGGCTTTGCTGCAGGGGAAGGTCCGCACCTTCTTCCCCGTCCCCAGAGGGAGCCCACGGGGTGGCTGACTCCCATGGAGTTGCTTCCTGGGAACCACGGGCTCCCTGGTCTTCTCAGGTGAACCAAATTAGACCTGCCATAGGGCTGACACGGCTGCCAGAAGGGACAGGGCCCACATTACCAAGCCCACAGCTTCCTTGAGCTGTTCTGTGCTCTCCCAAGCCTCTGGCCTCTCAGCACTTACGGAGGCTCATAGTTGCACACCAACAAATGGATGTTGGCTTCCTCCACTCCCTGGAGCGTCTCACAGAAGTGGGAACCACAGCCAATTCTCTCAGTCTTGCTCCAGACTACCTAAAGGAGGGCAAACCCAGCAGTTCAGCTCTGGGCTGAGTAGCATAGTTTCTTCCCCTTGCAGTTAGCTCTGTACCCAGCTTTTTGTGGGTGGCCTGAAAACATTCTAGAGCCTTGTGTGTAGTCTCAGGCCAAAACTGCTTAGGGGGCGGAAGCAGGAGGTAACATCATCTACCCTCTCCTGCCAAACAAACAAAGTCACCAGGCCTCTGATAAACTCTGTCCCCTTCCCTTGTGGCCTCTTTCTAGAGGTGCTTAGGGGGTTTGTTGTTGTTTTATTTTGTTTTTTGAGGCAGAGTTTCTCTGTGTAGCCCTGGCTGTCCAGCAACTTGCTTTGTAGACCATATTGGCAGAGAACTCAAAAGAGCCACCTGCCTCTGCCTCGTGAATGCTGGAATCAAAGGTGTGACCACCACACCTGGCTCTGTCCTTTTGAAACAAGGGGTATATGCAAAGGATCAATAGGGAGAACTGCAGCCACAAGGGAGGTCCAAGGAAGGGTTACTTTGAGAGGAAACCTTCCCCATCGCATCTATCACCTTAGCTAGGGCCCCTTCCCCCATTTATTCCACCTGGAATGGCCAGGCTGCTAGAATTTCTTCTTTCCTACAAAAAAAAAAAAAAAAAAAAAAAAAAAAAAAAAAAAAAAAAAAAAAAAAAAAAAAGTGTTAATTCCATCACTGGGGGGCAGAGGCAGGCAGATCTCTGTGGGAGTTCCAAGCCAGCTAAGTGAGAGCCTGCCTCAACAACAACATTACAAAAATGTGTGCCCTGCCACCAGTGTGAGGTCACCATGATTTCCTCGCTAATGCTGGGGCTGGGGGAGGTCCTGCTGGCATTCGCTGTGGCTCCTGGGGTCCTGTTTGAGCAGGTACATTTCCATGCAGAGATGGCTCCTGGCTTAGGGTAGAGTCAGAGAGAGCTTGGCCAGTCTGGCAAGACTGTGTTGGGTGAGGGTGAGCACAGATGACCCAGTAGGGAGGGTGCCTGGAGGGACCTCACAACTTCCCAACTTGGGTGGGTGCTTTTGAGTATTTCCTTCAGATTGGGGCTAAAAATAGCTCAAAAGGATACTGAGGGGCTGGTGAGATGGCTCAAAGGTTAAGAGTGCTGACTGCTATTCCAGAGGTCCTGAGTTCAATTCCCAGCAACCACATGGTGGCTCACAACAACCATCTGTAATGAGATCTGGTGCCCTCTTCTGGTGTGCAGATATACATGGAAGCAGAATGTTGTATACATAATAAATAAATAAAATCTTTTTTTTAAAAAAAAGGACACTGAGAATGGGAGGGGGGATGTGGGAGGGAACGTGAGTGGGATTGGTTTTCCCCCTTTGGTTTCTGGTGTAATCATTTGTACAATTAGCATTGGGAAGAAAAAAGAATTCCTTTAATATTAATGCTAAGTGTTTTTTTTTTTTTAACTTTTTGTTTTTAAGATGGGATCCAGCTCTGTCAGGCTTGGTGGCAACTTCCTTTACCCACTGGACCATCTCACCAGCCCTCTTACAGAGTTCTTTCTTTCTTTCTTTTCTTTTGTTTTGTTTTTCGAGACAGGGTTTCTCTGTGTAGCTTTGGAGGCTGTCCTGGCACTCGCTCTGGAGACCAGGCTGGGCTCGAATTCACCGAGATCCACCTGCCTCTGCCTCCCGAGTGCTGGGATTAAAGGCTTGCGCCACCAACGCCCAGCTAAAGTTTTTTCTAAAGCAAAAATTAAACGTTTGTCTATTTGTTTTTATCTAGTTTGGCAGACTAGAAACAGCAAATTAGATATGAAAAATTCGACGAGTGCTGGGCGTTGGTGGCACATGCCTTTAATCCCAGCACTGGGGAGGTAGAGCAGGGAGGAACTCTGTGAGTTTGAGGTCACGCTGGTCTACAGAGCATGTTCCAGGACAGCCGCCAGGGATACACAGAGAAACCCCCGCCCGGGGGGGGGGGGGGGGGAGAGAATGCTAAGAGCAACAGCCGCACGGAAGGTGCAAACGGAGCAGGGCAGGGGGTCATCTGCAGTTGGAACACTCAAGGTCTCCTGTCACCCAGGACAAGCTTTGAAACACTCAGGGTCTCCTGTCACCCAGGACAAGCTTTGGAACACCCAGGGTCTCCTGTCACCCAGGACAAGCTTTGGAACACTCAGGGTCTCCTGTCAGTCACCCAGGACAATCCTTGCATTCAGGAATTCGGCACTGTGACACCAGACTGAAATGGGTGACCTAAGTTTTCAAATGATGTTCCTTTTTGAAGAGATAAAAACGGTGGGGACAGTTTTGGTGGCCTCCGACTGCGCGCTATCTGCTATGTAGATCGTTACGGAGGGTCTAAGGAGACTGCCATTCTAAAGCCAGGCTGCTCCGGACTGATGCCAAAAAGCTACAACCACCCCACCTGGCCCCGCACGTGACTCCCCCCACCACCCGGAGATCCTGCCCACCCCGCCGGCCTTGCTCGCCCGCCTCGCCCCGCCCCAGGCCAGGTGGTTCCACCCAACACTAAGCGGGCCCAGCCCGCCCTGCCCAACGCACACCTCGAGGTCCAGACCAATCTCACGCACGCACGTGGCACGTCACCTCGCTTGAAGCCCTCCCCCTACTTCACGAGGTCCTGACCCTATCCACACACGTAACCCGGCCCCACACCTGGGGTTCCAGTCCGCCCGG